GGAACTTTCCAATACACGTGCAGTGTGGATGTGAGCTGCTGAAAGCTACAAAAGTCACCAAGTCAGGCTTGCTGTGATCTGCAGCTGGGGGGAGGATTGAAAGGGGGTTTAGCGACTTTTTACTTTTTTTTTTTTTTTTAAAGTTCCAACATTTTTAAACACTGGAGTATTGCAGTGGCTCTGGGCAGAAGCAGTGTTAAAAGCAAGAGACAGAGGTGGGTGTGGTACTTGTTGAAGGCCATTTAAAAACTAATCATATGCAGATCTAGAGGCCTGCTGTTGTTTTTTTAAAACTGTTATTCAGCTGTGTTAGGGAGGGTCTAAGCTTGATGCAGAGGCATCCAAGGGGCTCAGTAGTTTGAGCCTGCTTTCCACTGTTACCCCACCAGCCCCCCAAGGGTGCCTACAGGAAGAGTATGGAAGAAAGGGACCTGGATAGGGTGCAGGAGTAGGCCTGTTCTGAGACACAGGTGAGATGACTTTTATGCAGGTCTACACGGTTACATTCTGCAGGACAAGGAGGATCATAGCTGGGAGGATGGCATAAAAAGACAATTATTTTTATTAAAGATCTGTGTCACTCACAGATTACACCAAAATGGGAGGTCCTCTCACACCAAGCTTGTCATGGATGAGAGAGTACGTTTCAAACAGATTATAATTTTAGGGCATGAAAAGGTTTAGAACACATACCAGGAAGAACGATAGTGTGTTTGTAATCTTAGGTAGGAGTAATCTGCTTCACAGTTCAGGTTGTGGAGGGGGAGAAACGTAACCAGTTTAGGAAAGGATCTTGTTGTTCTTGGGGATCCTAAGCTGAACAAGTCAACAGCCTCATGCTATTTAGGAAAAAGCAAATGGCATGTTTCAATATATAATCAGGAGTAGATCCCACAGGACCTGGGAAGGGACCCTTCCTCTTTGCCATGCGTTTCCTCAGCGGGAGTGGTGTGCCTTGTTCTGTGCACCGCGTTTCAGAGGCAGACTGTCAGTGTGCAGAAAGAAAGAGCGAGGACGATCAGCGCTCTAGAACATGTGACCTATGAGAAACGCATGAATAACTTAGAGCTTTTTGAGTCTGGAGAAAAGGTTGTAAAAAGATGTGAAAAGAGTTTTTAAAAAATAGATCTCTGTAACAAGAAATACCCTGTTCCCTGTGATGGATAGGACAGGAAGTCATAGGTTTAAATTGCAGTGAAGGTTGGCTTGGGGGTAAAACAGAAAAAACTTAGTAATTGTAGGGATGATGAGACGCTGGAATAGATTGCCCAGGGATGTCACAGAGTATCTGCTGGTGGTGATTTTCAAAATTAAGTTCAACCAACCAGCAGGGGTAACATAGGCCTGCTTAGTCCAGTTTTGAGGGGGGGAGGCAGACTATTTAAGTCTTCCGAATTCTTTTTTTCCCCCTGTTTTATATGGTTCCCTAGCAGTGTTGTGTGTGGGAGTTGTACACTAAAGGCATGGTTTGGTAAGGCAGCACATGTCTGGAGCATGTGAAATGTAGAAATGTTAACTGTAAATAGCTTTTAAAACAAGGCATGAGGAGAATAATACTGGGATAGAGGGCTAATAATGGAAATAAAATTCAAAAGATTGAAAAAGTAATCAGATGATGTATAATATTTGCCCTGTTCCTCAGTATGCTGCTTTTTTGGTCAGAAGAAAATGATTATGAGAGTTTGAGGCTAAAGGCAATACCAGGTGTCCTCTAGATGTTGACCGGCTTTGTAAAAGTAGAGCCTGGGGTACCTGAATCCTCAGGGGGTACTTTGGCTGAAGGAGGGACAGAGAAGGAAGAAAGGGTCTCTTCCTTTAGAGAACAGGCTGTAGGGGCCTGTGTCTTTTCCCTTGAAGGACGAGAGTAGGTTACACAGGAAGCAATTGGAGCTTGTTGAGAAAGCCAGGTAAATAAAAGAGGAAATCTGCAGGGTATTCACCTGATTATTAAAAGGTAAAATAAAGGTGAAACATTGGCATACTAGGAGGGCCAAAAGAAAAATAGAAGAGGAAAGCTCAAAACTGGTACCCACCCATCTAGGCACATAGTTTGAGAGCATTACTTGATGTCTGAGGAGCAAACAGGAAAACCTGGAGGGCTTAGGATATGGTCTGAATGTTGCTTATTGACATGAATGATTTATTTCTGTTGATGGGTTGAGGAGAATGCACGCGCACAACATCCATTCAGGTAAGCCATCTAGAGACAAGCAATAGAAAAACAAGTTAATGGTAGAAAAATGCACTGGGAGAAGAAGTTCTGAAGCATCTAGATTTAAGATGGTGAAGAACAGAAAAATGCAGTGGAAAAAAGGTGCGACGTCACTGCTAAACAGCGATGTCACCTTATAGAAACTGCACTGAGATGTCAGGATCCCCCGTGCCCCTAAATTAAATAGTACAGGGTGCATCAAAGGGGCATTTGGATTACTCATGTGAAATTTTTATTTGGGTAATGTCAGCTTTTCTAGTAGACTGGGTCCGAAGCTACTGCCAGCCCCGTTGCTTATAATTGTGCAGGGACTTGTCAGTCTGATACTGAATTTCTGTAGAGCTCCCAGGAAGGAGGGAGGATAGGAGTGCAAAAGTCTTCCTCACCCTGACCCCCTATCCCTCAGAAGTGCAAAAGATAGCTGAGCACTGAGGTGAGTTTGCCTCAGTATCTGTCAGTTACTGTCAACCCTGAAAGAGGGCAGGTGACTGCATCCTTTTAAATAGGCCAGTAGTTTCCAGGTAAGGTTTCACGTCAGAGTGCACCGACATCCTGGCTGGAGCTTTGTGGCTTCCTGTCCTCAAGGATTTCAGTGCACATCCAAACATGAGCTTTGTTGGCCTGGCTGTTTAAGTCTTTGCAGTAATGATCTTCCTGTCTTTTGCATGGCATGAGCACTCTTGTCAGGACAGTCGAGAAATACATCTAGAGAATTTGGTGTATTTGGTGTTCTCCCTCATGCCAGAGCTGAGCTGGCTCATTCAGTTGCTCAGGTTATTTATTTATCCTGTTTTAGTGCGGAAGCTACCTCATGTCCAGAGCAATCTGAGGAATCTCAGTGTTAGACTGGTCAAAAATCTGCTAACCAAAACACTTAGCAGCTTGCCAGCAGGTGAAATTAAGGCAGCTCCCAAGCACATGGTCCCTTACCATAAGATGGTTGAGTTTTGTATCTTGAAAAATGTTGAATCATAGACTGAAAAAAAAGGATGCACTGAAGCTCCAGACCAAAACTACTTTTATTTCCGGTAAGGATTTTAATCATATGAACAAAACTAGCTATTCTCTCAGTCAAATAATGTCTGCTCAACCCAAACAGCTCAAAGGGAGTGTGCAGGAGAGCTCTTACAATTAGTGTGCAATCTAATTAGCCTGTGCCACTTTGCCCCAGAGGCACTCGCTTGATTTGATTATAACAGTGAAGATGTAGTGCAGTTTCAAAAAACAGACCAGTGCTGGATTATCTGAGCTCACCATGGCCATCACCCATGGATCTGACCCAAATTTGTGTTGCTTCCTTGAGGAGAATATGGCATGAGTAGTGCCTTCATTGGCAATCGTAGCTACGTGCTGGGAGCCTGCCAAGATTAATATACAAAACATTCCCCTCTCTGTCTCCTGCCTTCGAAAAAGTAACCGACATCAAAGCGCTACTCAGTTGCTACCAGTCAGAAACCTTGTGTTATCAGAAGAAAGTACTAAGGAGGCCGTGGTTATTAGTGATGTACTGAGATGTTTGCTTCAGCCTTTTTTTTGGAAATGATACAGATGTGTTTGTTTGAAAAATGACTGGTTAACTTTGCTTTGGGTCAGTAAATAATCTGCAGAGAACGTATGTAGCAAGTTGCTAGGTAAAATTTATTCATTTTTCCTTTAATTATTCCATTTGTTTTTAATCTGTGTTGTCAGGTTTTCAGCTATTGTTAGTAAAAAACAAACAAACAAAAACCCTGAAAACACATGCAGGTGAAGATAGTTCTTCAGTGTTTTCAAAATGGGTGGGGAATTTTTCTTTTTTTTGGAATGAATTGATTTGCTGCAACGGCTGTCCAATGCGAATGCTATAGAATAACTTAGAACACTATAAAAATTGTAAACACTCCATTGAGAAAAAGCACATTTGTTATTTGCAATATCGATATAAAGTTTTCACAATCCTTTTTGGTTGGCTAGCTTGAAAAGAAAATAACTTTTTTAGATATTCACCATTATTTCAAATAGTAAATTGAAACGGCATCAGTTAAAATTAATGAAGAAAGTTGACATCATTTGACACCTCTAAATTACAGATGATGAATTAAAATTTTAACCTATCTCCATTTCTCCATGCATTGTAGACTGACAATAGTTAATCTCATAACTAAACATATGCAAAAAAAAAAAAAAATTACCAGCACAAGTATGATTTCTTTTTGACCGAGTGTTATTTTGTGTGTTGTCATCTGTAAAAGTGCTTCTTTCCAAAGGATTCTTTCTCCATTTTTGCCAAGTCACAAATTTTTCATAGAGCTTTTGCACCACTCTCTACATTAGAGGCTCAGACTTTCTCAGAAATGTGAAGTTATTCTGGGACTGTTCCTTGGTCTGTTCTTTTGATGATTTCACATTAAAAGAATTATTGTTCGCTGCTTTGCCACTTTCCTGTTTTAGGTGAAGCAGCAAAATCCTGCAGAACAAATTTTGCTGTTGAGAATCATATTCCGTAATTCCTTTAGAATTTGGCTCAGTGTAAGAGTCTAGCAGAGAGTGTGTAGTGCGTGAAATAAAAATGAATTCAGATGTTAAGGTCATGCCAAACAAGAAGGAAGCATCATTCTTCCTCGCACTAGGCATCTCCTGTTGATGAAAAAATGTGAAGATTTGGGATATATCTCATTAAAAATTTTTTATTTACAAAAAAATGCACTTTTTTCAAAAAAAAAAAAAAAAAGCTTACACTCTTGACTCTCCAAAAATACAATTTACCCTATTGTTTACCGCTCTAATCTGAGCTGAATTTATTTTGTAGCTATCCCTTGAACAACAGTGATCTGCATCCGTTCAACATTGAGGAGAACGGTGGAGCACCTTATGCCACGAAAATGCCTGCAAGGCACCATCACCACCACCGTCACCACCACCACCACCCTAACTATGGTGCCCTTGCTCCTGACAGCAAAGACCTTGTTTCTGGAATTCCAAATCCAAACAGTAAGTCTAGAGCAATGAATGTCATTTCAGTAATGGTGCTGCTTTCAGGTTTGTCTTAGGCACGGAGACAAAGGAAAGGAAAGGAAAACATCAGGAATTTCAGTTTTTCTCAGTGAGGAGCGTGTTTCCTATTATTTCTTTCTAGTTCTGTAGAATGTGCAAATGAGTCAAGATTTACAATTTCCTGGCTTTGCTGTGGAGTTGTGGGGTTTGGCATTGGGTTTGTGTTCTGTAATTGAGCAAATACCCAATTAGGCACAGATACTGAGTATCTAGCTACTTGGCACAGGCTGTTTTTCATTGTTACTATTTATTTGGGTAATATCACAATCGTCTGCTATTATCTTCTGCTGATCTGCCCAGCTGGCCTTCAGCCCTCGTTGTTTGGATCTGACTGTTGCTTTCTTCGTGTCTGAGCACAGATGGCAGAAGCTATGGAGCACTGGACAAACAGCATCTTGCCATCCACCTTGGCACCCAGGTCCAAAGCTACAAAGGAGGAGTAGCTGAAGGAAACTTAGACCAAGGTTGGTGTCCAGTCCAGCGCGGACAGACTCTTTCAGCTCTTTAAGAAAACTTCCGCATATTCTGTAGATTTTAATGAGAGAAGCAAAAGATGCATTCCCATCCAGAGGCTGCCCTGGATTTCAGGGCCCAGCTCTAAGATTAAATGCTCAGAAGCACCTGAAAAGCATTGTTAAAAGATTTGTTTAATACTGGCAAAAAGATACACAGAGATTTTTATCAGAAGCGTTGTTTTCATCCCTAGAGGCCTCCTGCCTTCTATGCTGGTGCTTTTCATCCTTGAGTCAGGTGGTGTTTTTCTCCACGCTGCAGAGAAAGGGCTTGCTTCTCTGTGCTGTTTTTGTGGCAGTGTTTGGCACCGCTTTAGCTCACAGGAGCGTCAACGATTCCTGCTCAGCCTCAGCCACCGCAACCGGAGTGTACCCAGTTGCTCTGCGCAGAAATTCTTGGCATGTAGGAGGCAAAGAAGAAAGAAACCTATTTGTTTCTGATGCAGCTGTGGGGAGTTTGGGCATAAGGCTCTACTGCTGAGCATGTACAGACTTTTTTTAAAGGTGCATACTTTGGCTAAATATTGGTATAGGAACTGAAAGAGAAACATCCTTGATGTTGAGCAATCCCATTCCTTGCTCTCTAGATTTAAAATCTCCACTGCAATGCACGAGATGTTGAGACTGTGTAAGAATTTCCTAAGACGGGCAAAGCAAGGAATTGTCTATTAATTTCCTTGCCTCAAAAGGATGATAATTTTTGTTGTTGTCCAGTTTCTACTTTTATAATTGTGAATCACCCTGAAGTTGGCATCCATTATGGAAGCTTTCAGCCTGAGGAGTTAGTCTAACAGCTTTCAAATTCAGGAATGCACAGGCATCTACCTGCACGTAGGCTTTAAACAGGCTTTGTTTCAGAAACCCAGAAACATTATTTTTTATTTTCTTTCCCAAGGGGGGGGAGGGGACAGTTTTAAGGAGGGAAACTCAAGAAACAAAATGCAGGGTGTCACAGGCGTTTAAATAAGGACTCCTAAGCAGCAATGTGAACTGTTTTCTGAGGTTTTAAATGAAGTTACTGCCTTAGGAGCAACCTCTACTCAATCTGATGCTCTCCTCTGTGCTTAGTTTATTGTATGCTCTCCGTTAGCCTATTGCATGGGTAGCAATAGCATGCTGTGAAGTCTGGAGTGCTGAAAGGGGAGTACCACAAGCATAGAGTACCAAAGCATGGTGTCGCTGGCGGAGGCCCGTGATGGGTCACTCTTACGTTGCTCACAGGTATTCACACACTTGCCTCAGTCTTTAAACACCAGTACTAGTCAGGGTAGTGACACAGGAGTTCCTATTTGGTAGCTGCTGGCGTCAGACTTATTCAGGCTGTTCACATGCAAAATGAAAGACTGGACCCATCTTTGAAAAAAAGTCAGTCCTGTTCAAATGCAAAAAAGGTGTCCCTTCCCCAGGATGGAAAGGACAGAGCAGATCATTGAAGAAAGGAGAAGTTGCTGTTCCCTTTTCCCTTTGTGGTGCCAGACACGTTATCCCACAGCTCCGGTGCCCAGCCTGGCAGGGTCACTGGGGAAAGAAGTTTGGCTGTGTTATGTGACACCGATAACAGGATTGTTTGCGAGAGACAGCTGAGTGTGTGCAGAAGCAGGCTGCTGCTTGTCTGGCCAACCTGAGCTGGAAAGCCCTGTCCGGACTGTTAGTATGGTGCAGCGGGAGTCGGTGACCTTTCCAGGGTGATGGGCCAACCTGTATTTTTCTTTCCCAAATTAGAAGGGAAGCACTGCAGTAGAAACAGCTCTGGCTGGAGCCAGCTTTGCTGCTGCTGAGCCTGCCTTTGGGAAGGACCGGGGTTTGCTGTCCTTGGCAGCTCTGAGCCGCAGGCGGGTAGGAGCTGGGGGAGCCGTTCTCCTTCAGGGATGGCTTTCTCGGGAGACCAGCCTGCCCCTGCTGGCTTTGGCCCTGGCGCTGTAGGACAGTGAGTGTGTGACACCAGTGACAGGTAGTGACAAGACCTGCTATGACAAGGGCTGATGAACAGGCCAAGTTACAAATGGGGCAGCTGAAGTGGGGATCTTGGGGTGAATAAACAGCCTGATGTAGTGTTCTATAAAGCTGGAGAGAGGAACCACAAGGTTGCTAGGAGAGGGTGGATTTTGGTTTAGGTCCCCTGGCAGGAATGTAACAACACTATCCGTAGGCAGAAGGGTAAAAGGAAAAATATTTGTAGCTCTGATGTGAAATACACTGTCTTCATAGATGAACTCTCTAGGGTTCAGAAGATGATTAAAGAAACAGTAGTAAAAAGTCTCATACTGAGTGTTTATTCTAGCTCTTTATTTCTTCTTAGACCAAACTGCTGCCCTACTCTTTATCATTGGTGACTCATCAGGTTAGAAAAGCCTAAGGAGAAAAATCAGGCATAATTCTGCTTGTATCCAATGTTTGGTGTCTGGAAGGTGAAATGTCAATCTGTCAAAGTTTGCAATTAGCCCGTGCAAGTGAGGAGTTGGAAAACAATTCAGTGTGATACCTGAGAGGAATGTGTTGCAGTATCTCCTGTTCTCGGTCTCGGGATGCTGCGTGCCCGTTACGCATGAGGATGGTAAGACCTCGTTGTCAGTGTAAGTTCTTCTCCATCTAAAACCCCGTCTTCCTCATGCACAGCATGTCGCAGCCTCCCCAATCTGTCGAGCTGTTGCTTTACTCCGTAAGTGACTTTACCGATGGAAACACGCTCTTTTGTGTACGGCGTGTAGCGTGTATTCCTGTAGACATATTTACCTATCTTTTCCCTTTGTCTACTTGAGGCTGGTTCATGCTCCAACTTTGCATTTGTTTCACTATTTGATTAGAGAAAAGGGAATGGGTGCTGGTTCCAAGCACGGCCTAACGCCAATAGCCCAGAGTGCCAATTTCAACCTCTCTAAGGAAACCCTAAAGGATACTGCTATCTCCTGAGCGGAGGTTGTGGTCTCAGCACACTGACTGCATCCAGCTGGTCTGTTTTGATTACTGAGAATCCCATGCACTTCTCTGCTAGCTGACTCTTCTTAATACAAAAATACTGCCCTGAGGCAGCTCATCACCTGATCCACCGATGGCCTGTATCTATGTGCCTGGTCAGATAATCAAAAACTAATTTCCTTTCAAAAGGTAGTCCACAGTCAGACGCGGCATGTTTGCACTATTGTTTATGCTGTTAGAACAGAGTTGGAATGAATAGGGCCATCTTCCTCAACTTTCCCAGTGATCAATTTTTGGTGACATGTCTGTGTTTCATTTCAGGATTGGTGCTTTGTTTCCAAGCACTTCTCTTTTTAATGGGTTCTCTAAAGTGCTGCTCAGGTTATTTGAGCCGAGAAAGCCGTCTTGTGGACAGCACACGGAAAAGGCTTGTAGTGTATGTGTGGAAACAATTAGGAGCATCCCAGTTGACAGTCAGATATCTGGGGCTGCATGTGTGGCAGAGTGTGTGGGACAAGAAAAACGCATGTCGTGAGGAGCCTCTTATCAGCAGTGTGAATAAGGAATGCACAGACACGGGGGACTGATGGCACAAGGCCCCATGAAAAGCTAGGGCGCTGCTGGGAACGCGATT